ATTAAATAGCAGCCCAGGGCACACCAGATCCTCATTTCCGCCAGCGCCCAGGTTTGGCATGTGTGGGGGACTGCCTGGGTCCCGCCAGATCCTCATTCCAGCCAGCGCCTAAGCCCAGCATGTGAGTGGGGCAGCCCTGGGCCTGCCAGATCCTCATTCTGGCCAGTGCCCAGTCCCAGCGTGTGAGTGGGACTGCCGAGGGCCTGCCAGATCCTCATTCGATCCAGCTCTCAGGCCAGGCATGTGTGTGGAACTTCTGCCACCAGATAGGCCAGAAATGGAACCCTGCAGCAGAACCCCATACACAGGGCTAGAGGTAAGACTTACCCAGCTAATCCAGGAGCAAAACATCTTGCCTGAGTAGCACAGCGGGTTCCCTTCCAAGGGCTGCAAGAGGATAAAGTGGATGAGACCAGCCAGACCCAAGCCACACCCATCTGGACTAGTTTGAACTTGGTAGATCCAGATGTGGTGCTAAAGTAAAAACTGCACCAAAGCTCTACATCAGAGGTCAGAAGACAGCACTATACAAAATGACAAAGAGAAGGAACAAAATGCATTCTCAGGCCTGGGCCCACCCAGAACAAATGCAGGAGACAATAGCACAGAAGGAATTGGAAAGCACACATCAGAAATCTCTGAAATAATAGTGTCTGAAGTAAAGAAACAACTTCAGAAAGCTATAGAGGAAATCAGATCAGAAATAATTTCTGAAGTAAAAGAAACAATAACTATAATTAAAGAAGTACTAAGTGCATCTAAAGAAGACACTGATAAAAAAAAATAGAGGAGAAGAGAAAAATAATGGAATACTTAAATGAGCAATATGGGAAAGAAACAGAATGCATGAAGCAGATTCAAAGAGACATACAGGAAATTAAAACTTCAATTACATGCTGGCAAAACCATTTGAATGAAAGTGAAAATAGACTTTAGGACCTTGGAAACAGCATTGCTGTTAGTGAAAAGGTAAGAAAAGATCTCTTAAAAACAACTAGGATGCAGGAAAAAATAATTCAACATCTGCAAGATGATGCAAAGATAAACAACGTAAGAGAAAGGAGGAGTCAATACAAATGGTATAAAAAGAATATGGGCAGAAGTAATAGCAGAAAACTTCCTAAATACGAGGAAACAATCTGACATTCAGGTAACCAGAGTATATAGAACTCCAAGTAGCATCAACCCAATTAAAAACACACCCAGATACACAATAATCAAGATCCCAGAAATTCAGCATAGGAACAGTATACTAAAATCCACTAGAGAAAAGAAACATCACATTTAAAGGAAAACCCATCAGAATAATACAGTGATATAAACAATATGATGCTGGCACACACCAAAAAAACCAAGACGTGAATCACTGGAACAGAATAAGGAATTCAGAAACAACCCTAGGCACATTAAGCTATCAGATCTTTGACAAAAAGGAAAAAAAATAGGCTGAATAGAAGATAGTCTCCTTATAGCAAATGGTGCTGGGAAAACTGCCTAAATACATAATGGACACTGATTCTAGACTCTCAAATCTCTCACCATCTACTAAATAAAATAAAAATGGACCAAAGATCCAACTATGAAAACAGAAACACTAAATCCACTGGAATGTAAAATAGGTAAAACTCAATGGCATAACCATCAGCAAAGACTTTCTGAACACAACCCAACTGCACAGGAAGTAACATCCTGCATCAGATGACTCACAAATGGCCAGAAAATACATTTAAAAAAAATTCACTATCTCTTTCCATCAGAGATATGCAAATTAAAACACTGAGATTCCATTGTATTCCAGAATGGCTATCTTCAAGAAACCAAATAATAACAAATGCAAGAGAGTCTGAGAGGAAAGGGGAACCCTTCTACATTGTTGGTGGGAAACTAATCTTGTACAACCACCACAGAAATCAGTATGGAGAATACTCAACAATCTAAGACTAGATATTCCACTCAATGAAAATCTAAAAGGTACAACAGATATTGTGAAAAGGAAAGAAATTGTTCAATGAGAAGAAAAAACTGGGAGGAAGAAAAGGACAAATGTAAGACAGGAAAAAGATACATTTGGGTATATATGTAAAATAATTTTGATAATTGTATTGTAGAGTTCTGCTGGTCTTTTGAAAGAAGCTTAATTTGTTTTTTACTCTAAGTTTTTTCCTCTTTTGAATATATTATAACTTCTTTGTTACTGCTTTTTGTTTTTGTTTTTAAGCGAATATTACACTTTTATATCTGGTCATGTGAACAACTAATTTGAAGATACCATCATGTAATGCAGCAATCATTGTCGAATTCCTATTACTTTGTTTAGTAAAATCTTGTATCATTTCTAATGCTGTTTTTTCCTTTATATCTCTATTATGTCTTTTTTTTTTGCAATTGAACTCAGGACCTTCTGCTTGCCAGGCAAGCACTTATTCTACTGAGCCATATATCTCTATTTTGT